TGTCCAAATAGGGGTACCTCAAGAATGGTGGGTCTCCTTTGTGTGCCTTTGAATCCACCTGCAAATGGTTGCCCTCAAAAGCACTCTAGCTGTACCAACTCAACCCATTCTCTCCAAAAATGGGGCAACCCCGCTTCAAAACATGGTTGCTTTCCAAGGAGCACAAGTAATGTAATTGGAATCAACCCATAGAACATGGATGTTTCCTTTTGGTTTCTAGACCATCCCAACCTTTTGATTGAAACATATTACATACTTCTAGAGAATTCTTCCCTTTCATCCACCCCAGAAGTGGATACCCTCAAAATCCAGTCGAATATCCACCGAGGCAAAGCTTCGCCCAGCAGTTCCGCTTCTTCTGCGCGCGCACGCGCCTGGTGTCGGTCTCCTCGGCCGGGCTACGCCGTGGCGGCACACTCTTGGCGCGCAAAGGCTCCTGCGTTGTCTCCTGCGACTCGACCGTCAGACCCCCCATAGCCCCCGCCCCCGGCGCCGCGCGCTTGCAACTTCTGGGGTACGGACCAAAAATGTGTTCCTACTTCGAATTTATGGGAACGAAACCAGAAGGTTTGTTCCTAGAGTCTCCTTCTGACCCCTAGAGAAAAGGGGGGCAGAACCCCGGACAATTTTGGGTAACGACCTCAGTTTTAAAGGGTCATGGAGACTGCAGCTTGGTGTTCACAGAAGAATCGAATCCGAAACCAGGGCTTCTGAACGGTGGTGCATAATGGAGTTCAGAACCATCCACAGTAGGATGCGGGCAACTTTGTTCTAATTCCCAGTTTGCAAAAAGTTTAACCTGTGGGTGAATGGGTCATTGAGACAAATAAGAAACAAACATGTATGTATGAATCACGAAACAAATCAAGTCAAACTTGGTGAATGTATTGACACAAATGGAAACGAACACAAATGTGTGAAATTCTACCGATTTTCAACAAGTCACCATGCTGAAACCTTGCGGCCGGGTCAAGCGGCCGAATGCGCTCTCAAACAAGCGCCCAAAACCCATCGAACGGTTGGGTTGGTTTGCGTACCTGGACCCTCACACTACTCTAGAAAAAAGAAACATAGCTCACCAACCATAATGTTGGTTTGCAATCCTAGGTCCTCCAGTAGAGAGGTTAGAATAAGCTGGGTACCCTTCTTTCTGGGGAACCCTCCCCAAAAAAATCTGATAAAAGGGCAGAATCACTTTTTCTTTATGGTAGTTTCAGGGTCGGATCCAGTATACTCCTCTTTACGGCGACGCGAAATCCGAGATCGCACCCCGAAATTAATCCATGCGAACGAAACCATGACGTGTGTCGGTTATTTACGTTGGGGAATCATCCGAAAACCAGGGGTGGTGCAAAATGGATTTCGTCCAGTCATGGTAGGCTTATATGGGTGTGGCTCAAAATTAACCAGGAGGGGCAAACTGCAGGTTTTGGTCCATGTTTCCACTTACTAGGGCAACCCATTTTGGAATTCCGGTTTGTTGAGCCACAGCCCTCTAGGGACAGTAGAAACGACTGTCCTCAAATGGCCAAATGCGTTGATCATTGGGCGCATCTTGAGTTCTTGCGGCCTCAAAGGGTATGGAATCCACCAGCCCCAACCCCAACCCACGGACATCGCAAAAGGACAAATTTGCTTGAACCTTGCATGAGAAAAATCTCAGTCTTCTACCCCCTCCACATTCAGATCTTCTGAGGGAGTCTGGGTTTCAGGCTTTCCATAGATTCCTAGGGCCAGGCTTTAGGGAGGTTCAACCCAGAGGCTCCGATTCGCTGGGCCTTCCCGGGCCCCAGCCACCCGTGCCCTTTTTCTGCTTCGGGGTCGAGCTGGTCGAGCCGAGCCGATCGGAGCCGATCGGAGATTCGGAGCCCAAAGCACCAGGGCTTACCATGACTTGTTCGATGCAAGCTGAGCTACTTTCCGTGACTATAAGTTACCACCAAGTGAGCCTTGTTCAGGGTAAAAAAATCCGCTCGTGTCCTTAGGTCAGAACCCCACGAAAAGAAGCATCGGTGGCAATAGGATCGAGAAAAGCCACAGTTCTACCCCGGATCTGAAGCGCGGGGCAGGTCCGGAGGTTCTGGGGCTCCTAAGTTCTTGAGTTCTCTAGAGGTTGCAACCTCAAAGTCTGTCTGGGTCCAAAGGCTACCCGCGAAGTGAAGCGTGGTGTCTCCGAAAAAAAAAAAAAAAAAAAACCTTGCTGGGATCTTCTCAGATGCCCGGCGGATTTCCATGCGAAAAAAGAAAAACAAATGCATCCATTTTTTGTTTGGCATGGCCAAGTTTGAAGGGGAACCCTTCCCAAAGAAGGAAAAAAGGGCACTGGGCAACTGGGTCTCAGAAAGGCAAAACCAAAAGGGCGTTCCAGTACCTTGGCACTTGAACCGATCTTTGCATCCTAGAATTCCAAAAGCTGAACGCAGCAACCCCAAGTACAAGGACCTTTACTAGGTCCTCCAGTGCAGAGGTTAGAACAAGGGTAAAAGGGCACTACTGGCTTACCTAGTTCATCATTGTAAGCTCCAAAATCCCAAGAACTGGCTAGAGCGCGCAACATGACGTATATTTAGCTCGCGCCCGCCTCTCCTGTTTTTTTTGTTTTGTTTTGTTTTGTTTCCGCGACGCATCCCGACGGTTTCTCGACAAAGTCCGAAGAGGTCCTGCTCTGCAATGAAGGTCGACTTGTAGCAGAATGTCACGTGCGTCATGGGAGAAAGGCTCGCCAAAGAGTTTTTACCCAGGATCTGCGCAAATGCTGCGGTATACATGCGAGATCCATTCCAGCCTAAGAATCTCCTGGTTTCTTTGACAAACTTCCAGTTGCTTCAAGTTCTACCCAAACAACTCCAGTCATCATCGTCTTCCTCGAACGCCGGCGTTGGGCAAACACAACTTTTCCATCAGATCAAATTAACTTCTCGTTGGTCTTCTTGCACACCCATGGGTCTGCAAATGTTACACACAATTCCAAACCTGAAATGAGAGACTTTAACTAGGTCCTCCAGTAGAGAGATTAGAATAAGGGTACCAACTTTTTTCTGTAAGTCTATTTTAATAGGGGAACCCTCCCAACCAAAAAAGAGGCTAAAACGGGGGGGGGGGACCTAATTGAGGTAAAGAGCCGTCATGGTGAGCTCGCTTTACCCTCTTAGCTTGCCATCGGATGGGTACCCTTGACCGAACACAGCAATCCATCCATAGGTATCCTTTTTGGAAAATGGATGGCCCTGGTAAATGGAAGAAAACCCATCTGCACCAGTGTCATCTATTTCTAATCAAGCTAACCTAAAAAGGACGCCTACATGAATCCATCTGATTGCGCTTCTTGCTTTATTTCCCTGTTCTGTGATTGCAAATCGTGCGACGAATTGGGTGTCGGTTTTAGGAGACCCCCCAACAGCTGTCTTTTCCTTGTGATTCCCTTTGTTCCCTTTAAACCACCCCAGAAAGGCTTGCCTGAAGAAAACAACAAGCCAAAAAAAAGGTTTGCTGCGTGGACCGATGGGGTTCGAGTACCCGTTGATTCCAACTAGACGGTCTAATGGGAAGCTTTGACGACTGGGCAACATAGCCCCCACCCACCCACCCAACCGCAACCATTGGCTTTTTGGACACTTGGGATTTGGGACAAGGGAAACAAAAAAAACTCTTGTTGGGATGTGCTGGAAAATGCTTGGCTTCCTCTTCCTTTTTGTGGGGCTATCCCTTAATATCCCTCACTTACCCAGGATTTGCTGGCTGATGTGCCGTGGTCCAAACCTGGAGCACCGCCCCCTAGATGATCATCCGCAATAGTACGCTGGCAGCCCCGGTGACAATTCCTCCCGAACACCATGGGCTGTATGCTGGTGCCCAAACTTAAGGTACTACTTTCAAAATTGGAATTTTCATGAGGGGCCCTCTCTGGGCATTGAGGCAGGAAATGTGTGTCCACCACCCCCATTGAGGCGATTTTTTTTTAACTGAAAACTCGTAGCCTTTGTTGGGGATGGGCACTGGTTGGTCTCTATGACTTCCGATTTGTCCTAAGACACCTCAGCCTACCAAGCCTCGACCAACCTAAGGTTCGAGCGGCTTGGGCTTTGTCATGCTGTGGGTGTTTTTGAGGCCACGATTGGTAAGGGAAACACATAACTCAGCTAACCTCCCCAAAGCGTCTAGCCCTATTTTTTTTGGGGGGGTAGCTTTGGGGGGGGTAGCTCATCACTACCTGAATAACAGAAAGCAACTGTTCTGGGGTGCCCCGATTTTGTTACACAGCCAGATAGCCACGTATACACTATGTATTTGTGAGGGAGTAAGGTACACCGAAAGAAGGAGCACATGTGCAGTGGTCAATAATCACCGTCATCTACTGCCCAGAGAATGATGTTGTGTACGTACTGTAGGGTCGCTTACGCAATTCAGACTGATATAAGATAAGTCTCCAATAGCACCAGCGTTTGAGGGATAGAAAGCACAACTCACCCAATTCGGGGGGTTGACATGTCACTCACCACAAAAACAGTAGTGGTTTAAAAATGATCCCTTTAGAAGAAGCAGGGGAAATTATTATCCAACCTATTCATTTCAGCAACTGGATGAGGTTGACTTTGCCTTTTGAACAAAGTGATAACCATTTCGTAGGGACAATCTGCCGCACCTTGAAGCTAACGACAAGAAGCCCGTCGCCTTCGTTTCTTCTTTCTTTTCTTTTTTTAACGCGCGGATCCTCGCATGTCCTCCGGGGTGTGCCTTTTCACCGCCCCCTTTTTGTACCCAACTCACGACTGCCGAACAGGAGGAATCGTTTTCTCAAGGGCCAAAGTCTCTTAGGCGTTGCCAAGCTGAGCCAAGGAGGTTTTAACGAAGAACGGTACTGGAACCAAGTGAGTCTGGAGATCTCTGGAAACTATAGCTGGCAGGCGCCCCATTTGCTCGTTTTGAGTTGTGGTGAAATAGATAACCTCTGCTCGTGTCCGTCCTAAACAACCAGCCAGGTAAACTGTAAACATTTCTTCGCCAATTCGTGCTTTGGGAGTGGCGTGGAACGTGGCTCACTTGATCTTGAAGCGCTCTGCGCGCTGCTTCCTTGGCCACCAAACTGGGCTCAACCTCTCAATGAGAGGATTGGCCTCAAGGTGACTCGGTTTCCAACGAGGAATCGGGAAACCAAACGGAAAATCAGTCCAACTGAACGGACCTTCCCGGTCCAACGAGTCTGTGGGAAACCCCCAACTGAACTTTTCGAGCAAAAGGAACAGGAACCCAAAGGCCCCAAAGACCAATTCTTGAGGTCCAGCGTGTGACGGCTTTAGATTGGAATAAGGGTACCAACTTTTTTCTATAGTCCATTTTAGTAGGGGAACCCTCCCCCAAAAAAGGGTAAAAGAGCACTACTGGGGGACCTAGCCAAGGTAACGATTAAGGATTACCTTTGAACAGCCCAGCACACCCCTAAGTTGGCGGTTTTTATCTTCCCCACAGCTTTCGGTGAATTTCACAAGGGGTGGAATTTCGCAGTGGGGCTCGATTTCTCAACCCCTCGATTTCTGAACCATACATGACGTGCCACGGGACCCTAAGAAACAGATTCGGGACCCAAATCTAAATGAAGATGCCCCCACCCTACCTGGAGTCTCCGTGACCCATTAAAAATTGGGTCATGACATTATGACATTATTTTGGGTAGTGACCCCATTTTTAAGGGGTCACGGAGACTCCAGGTATAAGCCACTTCAATGCCATTTCAGGGTTGGTTGGAGAACTCGATTCCGGCCTCAAGTACATCTGTTTTGCACCCACCTACCGCAAAGGTTGGTTGGTTTGTGCATCTTTGTGCATTTCGTGGGCGTGAGTAATTAGGAGCCTTGACGGGTGGACTTCCCTCTTCCAATGGGGTTCCATGTATTTGTGTCCTGTGTGATTTGGACCAGGGGCAGTACGACCAGTGCTTCGATTTCCCTGACAAACAAAACCACCCTTCCAGAACCAAGGGAAAATGGCGAAGGGTGTATATTTCTCAAGAGACCTCCCATCCCCCACATGGCGCAACGGATTTCCGTCTGGTTTCCCGCTAAACCCAGCCCAGCAGGGGTATCCTCTCTTCCATGTGCGTAAGACTCACGGAAAAACAGAGTAGTGATACATTCCCTTCAGAACCCTTCAAAACCAAGGGAAAATAAGCCATACTCATTTCAGCCCATGGAAGCTCCCCCCCCCCCGGCAAAAAAAAAACAAGAGCCGCCCGATTTTCCAGCAGACAGCCAACACCTGTGCTCCCCGCTTCTTCTGATCCTCAGAGCCTGCGGCGCCCGAAATGGAAGCTGCAAAGCACGAGGTCCTCCAGAGTTGAGAGCTTCGAAGTTTTGGGTACCCGAGTTGTTTTTAGGTTTCTTGGTCTATTTTAGAACCGAATCTCCCAACCAAACAAGTTGATAAAAGCTGGCACCTCGCTGGGGGACCCTGCAAAGCGAGAACATCGGCCTTCGCAAAGCTGTGGTTCAAATAAATGTACCTAGAGTCTCCTTCTGAACCCCTGGAAAAAGGGGTCATTACCCAAAATGTTGGGGTCATTGCCCCATGTTTAAAGGGTCATGCACCTTGGTAAATGGAAGCATAAACTAGAACCCGCGGTTTGCCCTAGCTCTTCAGTTTTGAGCCACATTCGCCATATTGGGTTGTTTGGTTTGGTTAAATCCAGGACTGTAGGATTAGCCTTAGATGACGTGTTCTTTTGGGGTTGGAAAGCTTGGCCAAACTTGTGCATCACATGCCTGTTTGGAGGCCTTTCGCAGTGTGAGTTTGTCTTTTGAGGCTCGGTAGCCTTTGGGTTCTGTTCAAGGGAAACCAAGATGGTTCCATTTTCGACCCCAAAGACTTAAACGAAGGGGTGGTCGATTTCCCCAAATTTTCGCAACCCCCCCGGATTGGGACCACTTGCCCGGAGCGGGGTGCAAGGGTGCCACCCTTGTGGCACGTGGCGGGCAGGGAGACTCAGGCAGTTCAGGGAAACTGGCAGAAGCCAACGCCATGAAGACATGCTTTTCTCAGTTGTCTAATGGAGGGGTCGGGTCTTCCATTGAAAGCCCCACAACCCTCTGGGTGGGGAAGCCCTTGAATTTACCCTCCCTCACCTCAGTTGTTTAGTGACCCTGGAAGAACAAAAGAGAATTGGAACCCTTTTTGGGGAAGACCATTTTTAGTGGGGCAGCCACCAAAAAAAAGTTGGAAAAAGAATTGGAGCCACTGAACAACTGAGCTTTTTGGTTCCCTTGATACCAACCGTGACCCATGAAATGGGACTGAAATGAACCCGCTTAAAGCAAAACCAACAGGAACCTACCACAGCAAAGCACATGCTCTCGAACGGAAGCTCAAACAAGTCTGTGGCGGAAGCGTTGTTTCAAATGATACCAACCAAACACCTACCATGAAAACACGTATTTCACCGGGGGGGAGGGGGGAAAAACTCAATGGAGCCTGCCATGGTCAAAGGAAAACTAAAAGGAACCGCAATGACATATTAATGCTTCTTCTGCTTGAAGATCATGAAAAGGACCGGCTCCCAGGCAACAGCTTGGACCGGATGCGGGTTGTGATGAAGTTATGAGCAGTGCCCCGAAGCTTGGCGCGCATCGCTACGAACAGTCTCCTTCTGACCCTTAAAAAATGGTCCTTGCCCAAAATGTTCCGGGGTTATGAGTTATGACCCCTTTTTCTAGGGGTCAGAAGGAGACTCTAGGTACCACCCTCAAAAACTATCAAGTTCAGGAACCGGATGGCTCTTCCAGCCGGCAAGTAACTTAGCTACTGCTGGCGACCCAAAGGGAACCCTTGAGCTCGAGCTCGCCCAGTGAAGCCGAACCCCCGGGGTCTTTGGGACCTTGGGGCCCCCCTTTTTGCAGTTGGCTTGAAAGGAAACCCGCCGGGGAAACTGCAAGTTGTTCATCTTTTGTTGTTGTTTTGTTTACAAAAAAAACATATGACTTTATATATGCTTTATTCACGTAACTATTTTTTTGTTGGGGGGCTCCACTATTTTCAGAATCAGCTTCCCCCCAATTGGTAGTGCGCAGCCTGGTGGCTTCCGAATCACCAACCAAGTGTTGGCCCATCAGACGCCAGGCTTCCGTCCAACCCGTCGGCAAGCGGCTGGATGGGTCGAACCAAGTCCCGCTGGTCGTTTGCGACTCAAATGATCCGAGGAACTAAACAGTGGCTACAGACACCTTTGTTGGGGTGCTGTTCAAGTTGGAAACCAAAAAACAAAACACAGTTTCGCGCCCATTTGGAATCGGGGCTCGGCCCGAGTTGAAATAAGAAAAAGAAAGAAGCACGAGCCGCACTGAAACCTGAGACTCCGGCCATTTGCCCCGGTCTCGTAAGGCTCTGAGCGAAGGGACCCCATGCCAGCGAAGCGCTGCTTGCGCTGCTCTAACCTGGCGAACAGCCTCTTCCACTAGCTGTGAGATCTGGTTGTCGACCTGGGTGGGATTTCAATGGGAAAGGAGGCGCCAGGTGCTCTCTTTGTGTTTTCTTCGAAAAAGGCAAACTGATCAAAGTGCGCGAAGTTAGCCGCCGAACCAAACAAAGTCCTCCCCCCCCAGTCTTGCACTTGTTGGCCACTTTTAGGCAAATCATCTATGTTTAACTAAACTCACGCAAAAGGGACGATGCCTTTCTGACCCCAAAGCCGACTTACCTCTCAGCCAAAAGCTGTACGTACTTGAAATCGACGGCTGTTTCAGGAGACTAAAAGGAAAAACAACCTACCAGCAACAAGCTCAGCCCGTCTTGGTAGCTCAGCTGAAATCCGTTGACCGAAGCTCAACAGGTTGGAAGATTTCCCTGAGACACTTAAACCGTTCGGGCCCCCAATCGGCCGCTCCCCTGAATTCAGCTTCTCAAAATGGTCGACCCGGAACTGCCTTTCAACCTTTTCCCGGGTCGGCCATTGAATATCCGGCACAGAAACTTCCATTTGCTTAAACCCCAGGAAAAAAGAGTCCAGTAGTCATAGATTCCCTTTCAAACCAACAAGGGGGAAAAAACACAACAAAAACAATAATTATTCTTAAGCAAATGAAAGGACATGAACAAACCCGACGACGCCACCGGTCAAGGGCAATTCCAAGATGGAGGGTATACCGGTTGTGTAAGGGGTATATACTGCCTTCTAAGCTCATATATGGCCCTGGGTCAAAATCCCGTACCCCCAGTCAACATTCCAATCCCAACTAGAATAGACTAAAATGGGTGGTGCACCTACCCCAAAATGGAACCTGGAACTGCCTTGTTCTCCCCTGTTGACAAGGTCTAACCTCCTGCAAGAATGGATCCAAGACCTTCCATTTTCTTAACCGCCCCTGGAAAAATATAATATTTCCTAGGAGTGAAATCGATTCCTCGTAAAACAATAACAGGAGAACCACATATGGAAGAGAAGATCTCTCATGTTGGGCGCCAGGGGCCCCAGAACCGTGACATCCCTTGGCCCTAGTTCCTTGGCCCCATTAAAAGAAAGGACCAAGGGGACCCCATTTGGATGATGACAATCCTGAGCTAAACAATTGTGGTATGAGCCCAAGCATTGTTTCAATGGTTGGAATCCCAGGGTTGGCCCCAAACAGCCCCGTCCGCGCCTATCTGCCGTCAGCCCTTTCACCACCGTTCCGCCGACGCTCCTTTCCGCGCTCTCGGCGGCGCCCAGCGCGGTAGCGAAGCGCTCGGCGCGCCGCTTCCGCGCCTCCTCCTGCCGAATCGGAAGCGGAGCCGCCGTCGCTGGTACTTCCCGGGTGGTTGGCTTTCAATTTGCAGAGTCCCCTGCGGAAAAATGAGCAATCATTTCCAGTAATGAAATCGATCCCCTTGGAAAAGTAATTTCGAAGTTGTGGGTCCTTCCAGAAAAGAGACAAACCCGAATCAAAATTGGACCCCTTAAAAATAGGGTCATTACCCAAAATAATGGGGTCATGACCCCGTTTTAAGGGGTCACGGAGACTTCAGGCATGGGTTTCTTTTCGCCATCAGATCGCCTCGCTGGCGCCGACGTTGGCGGAGCTGACGCTGGCGTTGCTGGCGCCGGCACTGCCTCACGGGAAACATCGACCGGGATCCCCCGCAACTTTTGTGGAAAGCAAAAACACCTAGGGTTCCTTGGCCCCATTACAAGAAAGGCCCCAAGCGGACCCAATTTGGATGACAATCCTTTGGAAAGCAATGGAATTGTTTTGATCGTTTCAACCCAGGACACATGCTTGGCACCGGTTGGACGCCACAATTGAAGCACCTGGCAAGATGCTGTGCCCAGCTGGCTTGGAACACCTTGAAACTCATACTGTGGATGGACGAAATCCATTTCGCACCACCCCAGAAACCCTGGTTTCTGATGATTCCTCTGCAAACACCAACAAACGTTATGGTTTTTCAACCATGGTTTCATTTCGTGGTGAGAAATGGATTTCGCAACCATCCACCGCAGTTTGGCTGTTTTTGCTACACACCGCGCGAGGCTCTTCCCGCGCTTTTTCATAAAAACCCGCGGGAAGCCGCTCGAGCGAGCGGCTCCCGACGCCTCTCCGGCCGTTGCTACGAGCTGTGCGGGCTGTGCGGAGTTGGTCACCGGAAGGTTTTACTTGGGCTGAAAAAAAAAACCGTGGACAACCTTTGGACGGCCCCTTACATAACGAAAAGGCGCGGGGTTGTTTTTTCAGCCCACTTGACTTGAAAGGGGTGGGGGTCCGTACAGCTTGGGCTGTGGACCAAATTGGATGGCTCCCTTTTTGGAGGGCTCCTCTGATTTATTCCCGATCCCCAAGTTGGAGAGACAGCTGGGCCAGGCAAAACCAGAAGACCGTCGCCGCCTCTTGGGCGAACCGGGGGGGTCTTTTTTGGTGTGAACATTTCCACGGGGACCTGCATGCAGCTCGGCAGGCAAACCGCACTTGCGCACCTGAAAACAGCACCTGTATCTTTTGGGGCCGTGCCTGAAAGTGACAAAAGCAGCGGTTTGTCCAATACTGGTCCAGATCCAGATCGCAAGAAGCTATGGTCTCTTAGAGCCACCACGTGTCATTGATGGTCGCGCCGAAACAGCGGAGCACTGGCGAGATGGCGCCGAATCTGTGTTTGCTGCGCTCCTTTGCTTGCACCAACATGATAAGGTTTACAGAGGCCTTACAAAAAGAAAAAAAAAAAAAAAACACTATGAAATCCCTGGTTTGATACTATGGCTCGCGCTGCATCCTCGTGTGTTTGAGCTCCAGCCCGGCTCCCTCTTGCGTTTTGGTTGGTCCCTTTTCGGGAGAAAGCCAGACAAAACGAATGAGTTGCTTGGGTCTTTGAGTCGACTTCAACCTGCCTTTCCTTGGGAAAAACGAACGTACGAAGGAATTCCCTGGGATTCATCGAGCCTGTCGACACTGAAACCGCTAGGTGCAACTTACCCAGGGAAATCGATCCCTTTCCCAAATCTCACCATTTGTAGAAAAACCTGGAGTCTCCTTCTGACCCTTCAACAATGGTTGGTCATGACCCAAAATGAAGGTGTGACCCCTTTTTTCGGGGGTCGTAGGTAGGCCGTTCAGTGACCCTGGAAAAAAAAAGAAAGAATTGGAACCACTTCTTTTCTGGGCTTGGACCATTTTAGTGAAACAGCCACCCCAAAAAACAGGTTGGAGATGTTGGAGAAAAAAATGGAGCCACTGAACAAGTGAGACACAGGCTCCCATCCAGGGGATTGCCAAAGCCCCCCCCCCCCAACAAAACGAAACGGGGCAAAAAACGCGCATGCGCATCGATCGATCGCAGACTTGCCATGTACCACTAAAGACGTCACGTACTTCCCTCTAAAAGGTGCACCAAAATTTCACCACTAAAAGGTCTTCCCACGCTTCAAGCCCAGGAACGCAGCGGGTGAGTGCAGGGTTTTCTGCTCCCTTGCCGATTCTTGTCCAGGTGGAAAACACGGACGAGCCGCAACCCCGCAAAAGGCTGGTTGAAATCACCCAAACGAAGTGACTTGCTGGTGCTCGCCTTCCGGATGTTGGGAATGAACCGTTGGATTCCCGAAGGAAACCAACTCACGGATGGTTCTTTTTTCTCAGGCCCCTGCCTATCGAAGCAGCAAAAAAAAGGGGGCACCCAGTGGCTATCCATGGCGCAGACATTCGGATTTCACTCTCTCAGACTAACCCAGCCATTCGGATTTCACTCCCTCAAACCCAGAGGGTCCCTTGGTACCTCCTGATGGCAAGCTGGACTTTGGGTTTCTGAGACTCCCGCAACTGCAGGATACTCGGTGTGTCTCATGCGCAAAACTCAGAAGCATGGGCATTGAGGGAGAAACGCCCGCAAATTGTTTGGGGCATTTTGGTTGAAAGAGGTTCGAAAAGGAGACGCAGGTGTGTCTGTACCTCCTTAGGTACCAAGGGACCCTCACCTTCGAAAGCTCCCAGGCCCATGAAACCCAGCCTTCCATTGCGGGCTTTGGGAGCTTCCATGGAATCGTCGGCAAAGTGTCCTAGAGTCTCCTTCTGACCGGTAAAACAAATGGGTTGGTCCTAACCCCTGAACTTTGGGGTCATGACCAACCTTTTTTTAAGGGTCAGAAGCAGCCTCTAGGAAGTTTTCTGACAAATGACCACCCTCCCTTCGGGTGTCTCACCTGTGCCGAACCGCTGGCCGCGCTTCGCCTTCTTGTCGTCCTCCCCTGGCGAACCACTTGGGGCCTCAAGAAGGCCACTCAAAGCTTTTGATTTCGGTCCAAACAAGTCGCTTCTACCTAGAGTCTCCTTCTGACCCCCAGAAAAAGGGGTCATAGCCCCCTTGATTTTGGGCAATGACCAACCATTTTTAAAGGGTCAGAAGGAGACTCTAGGTATATTGCTGTAAGCCAGGAATCCAACCACTTGAAGTACTCGGAGAACCCGATCCAAAGCTTCCACGCGTCAATTTTTTGTCCCGGAAAACGGGTGGGTATGTTGCGCCCTTTTGCTCACTTTCTGAGTGGATTGCTAAGAAAAAGTCTTTAAACTTTTAATGTTTACCAACCAAAAAGGGTCCAAGCCCAAAAAGTGGCTAAAGTCCGAAACGGAACTCAGCCAGTGAGTTTTGGGCCGTGGGACTAACTGAAAACCACGGGGGACAATTTGACACATAAACCAACCAGGCGCCCCGCTGGTGCAGTGCACTCTGCGGGCTGGGTGGGAGCTGCCAGCAGCGGCAGGACGTGGAGCACAGTGGCCCGAGGAGTTTGTTCCACCCTCAAACCCATGAACATGGGGTATTGCAGCCCATGAACCGCATTTTTTGGTGCCTCCACAAAAAAGAATCCACAAAACCGCGGGCCACAAACGCCGAGTTCGCCGCGCGCCTGGCCCGCTAACGGAAGTGGCCGCCGTGCCAAAGCGCTCCACCCGGGCTTCCTGCGATTTCTGAGCCATGGCGAGGGGAGCCCAACTTCTGGGATGGTGAAGTCCGATTATTCTTTATGGGTAGTTGGATAGCTTCCCATAAGACTAGGTGATTGCAACCCAAACTTGGAGCTGGTGAAATTCATCTCGTTTTTTTGTTTGGTACCTAGAGTCTCCATGACCTCTAGACAAAGGGGTCATAACCCAAAATGGGGTCATTACCAGGTCGACTTTGGCAGATCTGTGTTTCAGAGGGGCACAAAACTTTTCTGGCCTCAGATTCCCCGCTAAAAGTGGCCAACTCTTCGTGAAATAAATGAAAACTACCACTCAACACTGAAAGGCTGAAAAGCTAAGGGGATGGCTGGAAGCCGCCAAGGGGTAGTTGGGTAGTGTCCCATAAAAATGGGTGATTGCAACCCAAACTTAGGGCTGGTGAATGCCGATTCTTTGTTTTGGGTAGTTTGACCAGGTAGTGACCAATGCTCAGTGGCGCTTTAGGGTGGGGACAACAGGGTAGTCACCTTTTGTGACCAAAAGACCAAATTTGGAGGAAGAACTAAAAAGGTCAAAAAGATCGGCTGCCACCAGCTGGAGAAAAACCGAAAATGTCAAAAGAGTCGGCTTTGAATCTGACAATGGTGACAGGGGCCAACCTTCCCTTGGCTCGTCCTGATATTTCTCGGGACCAATCCATACAACAACAGTTGCACCCGAGGCACCTCTTTCCACGAGGGGCTTTAATCCCAAGTCCACATGAGCCATGGTCAAAATTCCAATTGTTTCCCTACTGGACATGGAAATGGCTTGAACATTCTTGGCAATGTCCTTTTCCTCTCCCAAATGAACCATGCAGTTTTTGAAATCTTTTCGCTGAACTTCGCGTGAGGGTTGCTTGTGACCCCTTACGGGCAACTTTCAACGGGCGCAATGATCCAACATCCAAAGGGGAGAACTTGCTGAAGCCTCTTGCGAGATCCAAAGGGGATACGACGTTATGGACCAAATCGAGGAGACCCGTTTCTTTGCCTAGGTCCTCCTGTAAAGAGGTTAGAATACGGGTACCCTTTTTCTGCAGTCTATTTTAAATATAGGAACCCTCCCCCCGAAAAAGGGGAGAGAAGGGCACTACTGGGGGGCCTAGTTGCGAATTTTCTTTACCTGAGAAGGAGGTTCGGGAAGGCTGGGAATGGCCGAATTGAGGGTTGCTTGTTTGTTCCTGGCCATACTGCAGGGCTTGATTCCCAAACCCTGCTCAGGGGGTAGCCATAGCAGTTTGCCCTCTGGAACACCTGCCCTGGCGTTGGAAGAGTGCACCGGCGATGGACCACCACATGGCACAGGACTGTGCTCGGGGTCTCGTTGTTTGACTACCCCAAGGCAGACTTAAACCCAGGGGAGGTTGATTCCCCCAAAAGGGAAACTCCTGGGTTTAAGCCTACCCCAAGGAGGTCAAAAAAAAGGAACCCTGGTTGTGGTCGCAGGTCGAGACTCGAGGCTCAAAAAAAAACTCGCTTCGGAGCTTCTTGAAGCGGATCGATGCTCTGGCTCGATAAAGAACCGATGCAGTGGGCAAGTCCAAACGCTTTGTGTGCCAGCCAAGTGCCCCGAACCCACAAAGTGACTAAAGTTCATAAACTCGGGGGGTAAGTATATGTGCAGAGGTATATATGTATGTATACATGTACGTATATATATATATGATATATATATATATATATGTGCTTTGTTTTTGTCCCGGTATTGGTGCTGGGATCTACTTTTCCACACTCAGGTGTTTTGAGAAAGCCATGGTCTTGGAAAAGTCCTTCTTCTTCGCGTCGTCCGCGACAGCAGTGCCTAAGCCCAGTCGTAGCCCCTACTCTCAGCAGTGCGGTGGTTGTGATGGTGGTGGTGGTGATGGTGGTGGTGGTGCTGGTGGTGGTGGTGGTGGCGGTGGTGGTGGTAACCACTTCTTTTGCGGAGACTCTTGGGGTTAACTCGGGTGGTTGTTTTGACTAAAGCAGAAGGTAGCTACCGTGGACACGCGAGTGAACAAATGAGAGAGGGAGTTTTCCCTGCGAAGCTCTCAATACGGCATCATGCGATATATACAGATTCACAAATTCCAATTCAAAGAGCTTTCTACCAAGAACCCTCGAGCAGTTCTCACACGCTTCTTCCCGCGACTGAAAGAGGAGGTATTTGCTAGTACCCCGGAGAGCAGGTTTGCTCGCAACATACCTTCAGTAAGCGGGGGGTTGAAGTAGGGGGTTGGTCAGAAACTCTGCCTTCCTGCGTGCCCTGTGGTTAGTGGCTTCATGTCGGTACTCTCTTGGTACCCCTGCACGTCAACAGATTCCAATACACTGAAGGTGGGATGACACAAAACCGGGCCTTGCAGAGTTGAGTCGGAAAAAAAAACAAAAACAAAACAGCTTGACATTCAGTTTGCCGCCATGCTCGTCCCAAAAAATAGAAAGATGAGGAACTGAGGACGTGCGCATCAGCTTGCGTTTCAAGAACTCAAGCAGCGTGCCTTTAAGCGCCAAGAGGCGCGGATGTTTGCCCGGGCTTTTCTTGAGAGGGAACCTACAGCAACAGAAGGCAATACTTGGATGTCCGGCCAAATTAGTAAGTGGTCAACCACTTGGAATATAAACCCCTAATAACGTACAAGGTTAACCCTACCCAGAGGAACTTATAAGTGGGTTGAAACCTAGGACACCAACAACTTACTAACTTGGCAAACACCAAGTTATTATATACGTCGCACCTGAACATCGCACCATAGGAAGCCATGAAACAGCCAGGTCTGATCCTGCCAACTTGCCCAGAATGACGCCACTGGCAAAGCAAAAGGAACACCGAAGCCACTCCTGGGGGCCCATAACTCAATAGAGAGCTTAGAATAAGGGTAACCCTTTTTCTGTAGTCTGTTTTAGTAGGGGAACCCTCCCCCCAAAAAAGGGCTAAGAAGGGCACTACTGGGGCACCTAGCACACACACACACACACACATTTATTCAAACATCAACACTTGATGCGGAAGGCACCGGCCTAGCAGTACCGAGGACCCGATCAACGCCAAAAGTCGAGGGACCCAAAACCGAGATCAACTCACCAATGACACAGTGGATGGACAAAATCCGTTCGCACCACGAACTGAATCCATGGGAAACCAGTACAGTTGTTGGTATTTACAGGGCAATCAAATCATTCCAGGGTTTCTTAGGTGGCGCGAAATGGATTTAGCAACCATCCACAGCACCCTCGTAGAAAGTTGCCAGCTCATTTCAACCAATGCAAGCAAATAAATGAAAACAACAGCCCATCATGCCTGTTTCGAAGGTCAAACTGACCCGAGCAACACACATTCGCCAGTCAACAGGCCAAAAGGGGACAACAATTGAAGGGGGGAAGGATCCGGAACTGGCGTCCAACTTCCCACAAACCCCAAAAAAGGTGTATCTGGGTCCGTCAAGCAAGGGGGAGAAAGCACAGGACGACCTTCTTCTTCTATTTGCCAGGTCCTGCGGAAAGAATACATTAGATTTGTAGTGATAGATTCCAGTTGAAACTGACAGGGAACATAACACATATTCTTAATCAAATTGAAAGCTCTGAATTCAATACGGCTATGACTGTTCACTACCTTTTCACCATTTCGGGTCCCCAGTTAAAGTTCAGACCCACAAAGTCAGGCATCAAGTGAGTGATCCGTAAGGATCACTGGACCTGACAATCCCCTCCCTCCAAGGCTTGGGGTGTTTTGTTTCATGAAACGGGCCAAGCAAAGTCTGAACTGTTCATTGTTTACAGCAAAACTGGTCCAAACCCAAAAAGTGACTAAAGTCCAGCAACTCATGAAATTTGGAATCCCTTCAAACTCGATTCCTGTTATATAAGGGGTGTCTTTTTTGCACGTCTTGCACACGCCTCTCCGATATCCAAGGCGCCAAAGCGTTGAGCCCTTGCCGCCTTGATGTCGGTCCCCTGCCAAGAACATGCCGGGGAAAAACAAATCGGCCATCTGGTGGAAGATAGGTGCCCTTTGGGGAAAATAATGGCGCTGGTCTTACCCAGCTCCACGTCCATTTCACTGAGTGACTTGACAAAAAACAAAACCGCTGTGTGTTTGCCACTAGAACTGTCTTCGCAAAACGGCACAAAGACCAGTTGAAAGTATAGCTTCCGTTGATCAGAGAAAGGCTCGCCATGAATTCCAAGCACTGCCCCCTACTCCAATACCCTCTTTCTTTAGGGTATGATGTCGACCCTTTTTTCAAAAAGGATGTATTTAGCATGGAAACCCAGGGTTTTCAGAAACTACCCTAGAATAAGTGGTATTTGGAGTAGGGTGTGACTTTTAATTGTGAATGGCGCCATTCCTCGAGACTTGACAGTGCATGGTCATGCCTCTGCACTTGGCTCGTAGCTCAGCGCGTCACGCCGCACAAGTCGAAGAACTCAGCAATACTGAGACAACACCAGCAAAAGCCTGGCGTCTCCATGACGCGACGCTCAAATTGGGCAAATCTGAAACTAAGGTCATAAGTTACACTAGGTCCTCCAGTAGAGAGGTTAGAATAAGGGTACCCTTGCTAGGGGAACCCTCCCAACCAAAAAAGAAACGGTAAAAGGGCACTACTGGGGGACCTAGTACAGAAGGGTCATGACGGTCATGAAGACTTCTGGACGATTTCCCTCAGAGGGTTCTGGTACTGGTCAGTCACAAGATTTACCAAAGGGTTCGAAGATCACCTGTTGAAAAAGCCATCTCATTTAGGACTCTGGAAAGGACAGCCTGAAAATAGAAACCAACAACGGCTTCCCATGGATTCAGTTCGTAGCGCCGGACCCGGCCTCTGCGACAGCTGTGGAAGCCGACCCGCCGAAGCGCTTGGCACGCGCATCCAGCTTCTCCTGGTCGCCCGTTTTTTGCGCGTGCGAACCCGTGCGGGGGAAAAAACAACAAAAGCCAACAAAACAACACGGGGGGGGGCCTACCTTAAAGGCCCAACAAAAAAGGGCACCAACACCAAAAAAGTTGACACACCCATGATCCAACGGAGGTTGATTCATACTTAAAGGGGCATTGTAGGTCAGGCAAGTGGTTGGTAAGCCCGCTTATAACCCACGAAAGCCATGGGTATGAGTCTCCGTTCAGCGGGGTATAACCAGGCTTACTAACCCAGTGGATCCATTTGCCTGGTAAAGGTAGGTAACCAAGGGCGGGCTTGCCACCCGATACAACAAAAACAACAATGGAAAAGAACTGGTTTTACCTACACGTGTAACCGGGGATCCACTGGGTTAAGAGGGAGGGGGGTGGAATTAGATAGTCGGGGACTTAAATGGCTACTCCCCTTACAAGCCCGGGTTACTAGCCAACTAGCCGTCCTGAAAAAGGCTATAAGTTTTCGGAACCAAAAGGTCAAAAGGTCGGCCTCCAAGTAAGTCAAGGGCTATGTCTTCTCCAAGAATAGATGGGCACTCTTCACATGAATACCCCTAACCATGGGTACTGCATCGGATATTATTGAGTATGAGTTGTCAATCCCTGACTAATTGAACAAGCATATTTATTATGAAAGCCGGTGCTTTGTCTAAATACAATTACCACAAACAAACACGCTTGTCAAAGGGATGCGCTGCACCAAACCCTAGACACATTAAGAACGTTTCCCCAAGAGGAACAGTTGGGCGGGGCTTCTGAGGCCCTCAGTTTGTGTTGCAGGAGATTTGGGGCCAGTACGTCCTCCACGAAAGAAGTACAGCAAACCCCTTACCTACCCAACAGCTGCTCAAAATGGAGCGCCCAATCCGAGTTTGGGACTTTGAAGAGCCCAAGCAAGGAAACAAGAAGAAACAAATTCTGCAAATATCAGAAAATGGATGTCTGCTCCTGCCATCTTTCAGAGACAAATCAGGGATTAATTATTTGGGCCCCCGACTGAAAGTATACCAAGGGAGCCCTACACCCCGTCGTTTCCTAGGTTCCATGTAAAGGCCCTCTTGGAAACATCGGGGGCATAGGTGTCCTTTTGGAAAATCAGACAGGTTGAACTGACACCAGGGCAACCCATCTGTTTCTAACCAAACTGGGGGTCTGGGGGGCTTGCCCCAAAACCCAAAAGTTGGTTGACTGCCTCGGAAAGTTGGCAAGTCCAGAAACCCCGGCTTTGGACAAGAAAGAAGTTGCAATGTTCGCATTGGCTGCAATATACAATATGCCAGTATGTTCATATGAGAGAATACAACCTGTGAGAATACAATATGTCTCATGTTACTCATTGCATGCGAGGATCGCGAAAACAATGCAATTTTGTTGTTCGCCACTAAAATGATCTTCTGAGAATACGAGCCTAAGGACACGATGTCCTAATCTGCTCTACGAAGTGGGTTTCCAAACTCCTGTCAAGTCGGGACTTAGGTTGGGAATCTTCTGCAAAGGTCAGCTCACTTGCGTTAAGCAACAGCTGTTTAGCTATTGAAGCTTTTAAACTACCTGGAAACAACGCATTTTTTGGCTGTGGAAACTTGTGAATACGAAGCAAATATCTAGAAAACCACAAGGTGAGATCCGCTGAGTCGGGTGAAAGATTCAAAAGCTGCCAGAAACCAACCCTTGGCGCAGTCGCTGGGATCGAAATGGATTTCGGATACCTTTTTCCGGCCAACACATTGAACAAATTATGGGAAGATGCCGATTTTTGACATGCAGTCCGGGAATCATCCCCCTACTCTAAATTAGTTAACACCGTGTTTTGGGGTAGATAGATGTTGAAAGCATGGTTTTGTATGGAACATATTCGACATTGTACCCAAACAAACCCTGAAGCAAGGTGCGCCTGAGATGCCTTGCGCAAGCTCTTTCATGGAACCAAGTGTGCCACTATGACAAGTCATGATTTGTCTTGTGTCCAGTAAACTCACAACAGGTTCCAATGAGATACTCAGTTGTTCAGTGACCCTGGAAAAAAAGGATTGGAACCCTTTTTTGGGCTTGGACCATTTTAGAGGGGCAGCCACCAAAAAAAAGTTGGAAAAAGAAAAGGGAGCCACTGAACAACTGAGGATATCTTGCAGGTGCCATTCACGGATGCCACTTTTCGAGTGCCGCGAGCGTCTGGAGCGTCTGCCGAGCAGAATCTCGATGTTCTTAGCTGACTCCGGAAACATGTCCAGCGACACGGGTACGCAAGATCGCAGCTGAGCTTTGCTCAATGACTCAAGGGCGAGGTTGAAGAATGTCCCACGCTTCTAGAATCAGGAAGGTTTGGTTCACTGTTACCTGTTTATTCACTACCTGTTCCAACCTTGAATCTTTCCCAAGCCTCTTGAAGCATGTTGTCCACTTGAGCAAGGCCGCCTGAGAGGAAGCAACCTGTCCACAGGCCCCCGATTGAAAATCCCAAAAAGGCGTTTGAACTAGAACAAGTATCGAGGGAGCCCGTTTTGGGGCGCTTTGAAAAAAGAAGAGTAAGGATACCCACATCCGCTTTTTCATTCCCCCACACCTAAATGGTGGTTTGCCTGTTGGTTTTCCTTTAAAACCACCAAATAAGGGGTACTACGCCCACCCATGGTGTCCATTAACTCAAGGATTCTCAGGTCGCACCCCACGCCCGGCCTTGGTGGACAAAGAATTCCCGTTCTCCTGGCAAACTCGTTGAAACGGATTCTTTGCTAGACATGGGTGTGTCCTCTTAGGGGACATCCCCCAAAATGATGGTTGTCCTGTTTGCTTTAAACCAACCCGGAAAAGAAAAGGTACAGTCAACATAAAGGCACCAAGGGTTCAACCAAGGGTTCAAATCAGACTGAACCACCAATCCGAAGCACCAACCAAGATAATCCTGATCACTTGCATGGCTGGACTGATGCCACTACAATCCATGACCAAATAACAAGGCTGGGTCAACGACCACTCTGACAACAGTGAACAACATGTTGGGTCAACGGGGGCAGGGGGGTTTGCCGCGCTTGGAATGACGGCTTGTGTCAAGCGATATCCATCCACCTTCAAGTCAATGTGCAACTCACCAGCGGGACATTCTACTCATGCAGCCCAAAGAGAACCCCACATGTCCATTTGGTTAAGACCCCAGGGAAAAAAAAGGAAGCTCCAGTAGTGATAAATTCCTGTTAAAGCCAGAAAAAGAAAAAAAGAAAAGAAAAACAAACTCATTTCAGCAAATGGCAGAAGAAGACAGACGCAGGGGCCTTACCAACCCGAGTAGAACCTAACGCAGGCTTTCGGCCACATCCACATCCCTCACGTGCCAAGATTCGGGGCCTCATATCTGCACTCGGATAAAATAATCACGGGACGGTCACGATTCTCCTCGGGGCGTAAAGCAAAAGATGCGAAACCACATCTTTACAACAGGGCGCCTGTCAAAAGTACTCAAATTCCGGCTCGGATTCTGTTGCGACGTTGCCATGAATCAGAAAGGCCTCTGACATCCACCAGGATTCCTCTTTGAGACACTCTCCCCGACTGATCAGTTGCCCATGCGCTTGCCTCGGTCACCATGCCTGGCCGTTCGCCCGAAATGGCGGACTTTCTCCAACCGAAAAGGGGGAGGGGCAAAAAAAACCATTGGGCGCCCCGCAAGATGCATTCGAGCTGCTTTATGAAGAGATCAGCTGCTTGAAAAAGGGGGGGGGGGTTGCTCCCCCTTGTATACGTTCAGGTCAAATGAAGGCAAGTATCTGACAGTTCACTGCGAGACATGGGCGCAGAGTTCTCCCTTGCAAGTCTCTTCACACATAACCCACTTATGAGTGAGTTGGGCCGGTTGCAAGTAGGTTCTAACCCAGGTTACTAATCACGGACTAAAATCGCCGAGCACCCAAGTAGGGATAGATTCCCATCCGAACCCAACAGGGAAAACTATTCTTAAGCACAGTCGAGAATTGGTTTTGGGTCGAGCCCTTCCAGCCTTTGACCATGCCTCTACCACGTGTTTATTAAGGGAAAACGGAGATTGAACAACAAACAAGCAGCTGGACAGACTTAGACCACCCAGTCGCTTCATGTGGGTGTCGTTTCTTGGAGTTGATACCCCTTTTATGCCCCAGTTGCTGCAAAATGAAAAGACAACATGGCAGATACTGAAATGAGCAACAGTCCCTGAACCGATCCTGCAATGGCTATGCCGAAAGGGGCAATGGCCCAGCCCTGCTACGGAGCCTTCTGGCTGAATAATAAGGCGGATGGACACACTTCATGTTGCACCACTTGGAACCTGGTTGTGCCAGTAGTGCTTTATCCAACCCAACTGGTGCGAGTGGGTTTTGCCCATGCAGTACGAGGCTCTGATTCTGAAAGACTCCTACAAACTCAATTCCACAACCTGAAGCAAGAACTGGACCAGCAAGTAACTAACCTAGATGTCAAGCTCGGCTTACCATGTGCCCCGTGCCGATATTTCCCCCTTAACACCTAAGGCCCTAAGGACACCTGATGGCCCAAAACATTTTTTTTTTCCAAACAAGAAGGCAAAACAATCACTGGGTCGCTCCAAGCCCGAACGAGCAAGAGGCCCAACCGTTTTGTATCGTTGCTTCTCTGGAAAAGCCAAATCTAGGCTGGAATTAGGACCCCAGCAAAAATATATATTGTTTGTCTGGTTAGTGGAAAACAAAGGGACCCCAAAAAAGCAAAAAAGGAAAAAGGGGAGCTAATTCTGGGGAAGAAATGAGCCATGTCCTAAGCGTGTCATGTTTTGCTATGTCGTATCATTCCACCAGCTTACGCCACCAGCTTACGTCACCTTACGCGCGTGGAGTTGTTGCTTACGCGACACATTTGGAGGCTTTGTGTGCACCACCAGCTTACGCCACCTTACGCGCGTAGAGTTTTTGCTCGCGCACCGGTCGATATGACATGACTCTCAACATGTACACGGAGGTTTCGGACGCTCAAGTTTATTCCACAAGGTCCCAAGCGGCTTTTCCAAAGCGGGTCACATCAAAAACCGGCCATGTGTAACCGGGAAAACTAAGGACGAGAGTCGCACACGGACCGCGTTTGGCTTCCTCATACGTTCAAAGCAGACCGGAACTAACCGGGGTCTGGCAAGTTTAAACAAACCCTCACTTCCTGAGTAGATTGGCCAGAAACAGACTTGTTCGTCCACTAAAATTGTATTTCCAACAAGCTTGAAGTCCAACTGAGGGAGTGAGAAACATCATGTTGGCCAACTCAGGCAAGACACCACACCCAAAAAAATGGACCAAGGATCGAAAAGGCCGTCCTGAGTGGACTGACCAAAAAAGTCCAATCTTTGTTTGTCTGTCGCTAAAATGGTCCAAGCCCAAAACAGGACCGAAGTCCATGAACTTAGGCAGTGAGTTGAGTAGACATGGACAGGGGTCACTGGAACCCCCTTGAACAGTTGATCAACTCACTGTTTCCAGTGAAAACGATCGCCATTTTTGGAGGTTTGAAACACAGGAAAACCAACCCTGGGGGTCAAACCACCATTAGATATTAATGCTTGGGTTAATAACCACCAATGTTTACCTAAGGCCCTAAGGCTTAAGGTGGGTCCCAAGTGTCCTTTTTGAAAAGTCCTCGTAGATGATTGAACCACAAGATCAACCGGGGCCCTCGAATTTTCAACCAAACCAACCAACAAGGACACCTATGGCCCCGTTGGGCCATTGTGGGGGTCAAACCACCCTGGGGGTCAAACCACCATTACCAAAAAAACAAGAAGCATGGTTGGCTTAATATAACCACCCTTGTTTGCCTGAGGCCTTAAGGGGTTCCATCGAATTGGGCCCCCTTGGGCCGTTTTTGTTTCTGGGGATCAAACCCCAGAATTCGCCAAAAGCTCCGCCTGGGCCCGCGGGGTTTGCCACGCGGCCAAAGGGAACTTCCGCGCCCGGGCCCCGAATCCCCGAGCTGAGCCCTGAAACCCGACCGGACATCGGCGCAGAATTGAATGCGACGAGTGCCTTTCTGTGGGTTTAGAACATGACACACTGAGGCCGATTTTGGGGATCCCCGATCTTGAAAAAACAGCAGTTGGATTTTTTTTGGGGATGAGATAACGCCCAATAAGTCTTGGGATCCCCGGTGTTTCCACAGCTTTTGGTAGGTGGCAAAGGGATTCGGGTCCCTGGCCTCTGTTTTGTCCCTTTTGGTTTCAGACCAAACTGAAATTGGTACCGAGTCTGCAAACAAACGATCATTCTGAGGGTTTTTGTATTACACCCTGGGATTATATACACCCTTGGGAAATGACCCGGAATGGTTCAAAACAACACGGTTTTATCCGGAGATGTGCGTAAATGGGGTCAATACCCAGTGGGTGTATTTCCAGGGTGTAATACAAAAACCCTTAGACTCATGGTGATTCCCAAGTCGAACTGGGAAGCTGGAGCTGTGCGGGCCTTGACTTAAGCTTGGTTTCTAAAGAAAAAAACAGCGGAGTCTCTCAAAATGGAAAGGATCCCCTGTTGAGTTGCTAAGCTTTGTGTTGCTTCCTCTGCCCTCTTTGGAGGTGCGTTGATCCCGATCTAAAAGTTAGACTTTTCGTGGGATTTGTCATAGATTTATCTAAACACTAAAAATATAAAAGCTTAGTTAAGGATATGGCCGGGAACCGACAAGTGGGTGTTCTTTTCGGGAAGTCTTCATGTTTGTTGGTTGAATTGAAGGGAAACCACACGAGCACCACCCACTGAAAAGGGGGGGTACCCGGATTTGGAGATGTCCTGCATACATTTTACTATGCGTCCACCTTTCTCCATTTGCTCAGTCCCCAGGAAAACTAAACATACTTCCATCAGTGATAGATTCCCTTTCAACCAGCAGTAGTAAGATCCGATCGACCGTCCAATTAGGTGGATCCCCTTGCCTCGTGTCGCTAGCTTTCGCAACAGAAACGCTGGATGCTTCCCTCAAATGCTTCCCTCCAATGCTTCCCTCAAAACATATTTCCCGCCTTCTAGTCACATGTAAGCCAATGTATCAACTCGCTACCTGCCGGTCCCACGTGGATGCCCTTGCCCTCTCGCAAGCTTTCCCAACATGCTTCCTTCAAACGCAGTATCAAGATGTATCAAATGGGCGTGCCTTTTTCGAGGATACATATTTATGTTTATTGCTCTTCTTTAGGGGGGGGGTTGCAGTGGGTCTCCTAAAAAAGGTACAAATTGTAATTTGGCAAATTACTCCTGGACAGGCATCCGTGAGCTAGGTTTACCCAGGCGAGCTTGTTGTTTTGTTTGTCCAAATGCGACACACCCGACACGCAATACCCACAAGTTTCAGGGGACAGGGCATAATATCAACCCTTGACTTGTTTTTGCACACAGTGACTAAGTGATTACCCTGCATTTGCTGAAGTCCCCTGGGGAAAAATATATATATAATATTTCCAGTAGTGAGATATTCCCTGTAAAACCAGCAGGAAAACAACATGTAAGTTGCCTAGTTGAACATGGAGCAAATGTATTCCATGTATTCCCCTGGAAAATATTCTTAACCAAATGAAAGTTAACCCAATTTCAACTACGGCTTTCAACATTGACACAGGGGCTCCAATCTAACGTCCGCTTCACTAAGGATTCTGCGGCCAAAGTGTCGTATTTAGAGGCCCTGGTACCCATTGATCTCGGCCCTTAACCGGGGATCGGATCCGCAAACGGGTTGGCGTTCCCGTTTGCAGTGTCGGGGGCTTTTCTTTTTTTTTGCGAGTTGCGCACTCCTCTCAATACATCCAGTTTCTCGGGTTGTGTTGGGTTGTTTTGTTTCTGCCTGAACCTGCCTGAAATCCAAACCCGTTACAGCCCGTTCCGGCGACCCCTGTTGCGGGCTCTCTGATAGATGAGTCATAGAACCAAAACTGATCGGTACAAAAATGGATTCAGAACTCAGAACCATTGTTTCCAGAAATGAAAAGGCGGAACTCCGCACAGGTTTATGGCTGGGGTTGTCCCTTACCCTCCAATTACCCGGGCTTTGATTGTGACTCACAAGGGTTGACCTTTGGTTGGACAACCGCGAACAATACTCGAGGCTGCCAAGCACTAGATGGGAAAAATTACCCTTGGTCAATTGGGGGCCAGGAATATTGCACAACCTCCACATGGTTCTTTGCATTTGCTTGAGACACGGATGGAGTAAGCAATATGGGTGTGCCTTCTTTTCGGAATCGGACAAAAATGGCGCCACGGTTGTCCTGGTCGTGTTTCCTTAGCAAAAATCCCAGGAGGCAGTTCCCTAAAAGACACACCCACTTTCAGAGGGCCGCATTTCACCGTTCCCCGACCAGGACAGCCCGGCGCCGCTTTTTCTCAGTCTTCCAATGCAGCACCTGGCAGCCGCCCCATGATTTTCCTTCTTGCCAATTGTGACCCTGTTCTAAACCATCCGGAACCCCCGAACGGTTCCTAAAACCCCGAAGATTGATTTGAATTTTAAGGGCCCCTGGGCCCCACCAATTTGGTGGGGATTCATGTCCACCAACCACGTCTGAGGTGGTTACCCAGTTAAGTTCGCAGCCATTTGAATTCGCCGC